ATTTCTCATTTCCACGGTCTTCCACGAAGGAAAGGAAAACAACAGAGACTTTCATAGGAACCATTTCAGTCTCATCTGGCGATTTTATTAGAATAGTTTCATCGTAACAAAAGAGGCAACAGATTTGAATCAACGAATCAAAACTCCATCATAAAACCACGGATACATAATCTCATCCGAAGGGAAACGGCTGCGTGTGAACGATACCATGCGTGTGTCGTAGCCTCGTAGAATCGGAAAGGCACGTGCGTTCCGGAGAATGAAATCTTCAGACGTATATATATATACATGGGATGCTGAATAACTCTGAATAAGAATGGCATCGGTCGATCGATCCGCATCATCACAAATGGGTGGACTTCTTCCTGAAGAGTCCCTTGAGCACGCTGCTCCGTTTGTCCTTGCGATGTGGGAGCTGGAACTCGCTCTCGGATCCGCTGTCGACTCGCTCCAGCGTCGAGGCGTAGCCGTGCGGGGGGGGAGGGTTCGAGTTCGCCGGGAGGGAATGATACCGACTCGTCACCTGAAACCGATTTCATATTTCAAACGTGCCACGATTTGGAGATGGACGGTCGAAAAGCGAAACGGGGCTCACTTGTTTCCCGGTTGGATGACGTAATACGGGTGGCTCGACCCGACCTGTCGGAGAAAAAATACCACGGTGAGGAATGTTACCGTTTTTCGAGTCGGTTTCCCCCCTTCGGTTAGGGGATTCGAACGAGAATCCGCGGCTGGCATTACCCTGATACGAGTGATTGGAGGGATCGGACCAGTCCTCGGAAGGGCGAGGCTGGATTTGCATTTGCCTCGAGCGAGATGGAGGTGGTTTTTGCGGCAAGGGCGGAGGTGCCCCACTTGGCACAGAGGGGACATCTACAACATCGTAAAAGCATACACACGACTAGCGAGGTGTTCTCGAGGACGTGGGGTTAAAAATAAGCAAGGTGTATACGACGACGACGATAAAACAACAATCATTCACTAGCTTGTTCGACACGTTTCGAGAGATATTTAAAAGTGTGGGGGAAAAAGTAGTTCATATAGCTGCAAAGCAAGCAGAAAGCAAGAAGCACTCTATGCAGAATATGGCCAGAGCTCAAAACATGAGACTACCTCTTAATCCAGCGTAATTTTAATCTTCATTCATATATGTACTTGTATCCAATCGTATGAAATTCTCCATGGATTACACCAGAAACCATTAAGCTCAGCAAAACCCCATACGAGTAGCACGACCAGCTGAATGCAACCGAGTATGAGTTGAAGGAATTGCCCACCTTGAGGACTTTCCCTATCGTGAGAGGAGTTGGTGTACTCATCGGAGCTTCTGTTGCTGGATCGAACATGCTTGGAGGGGGACCCAAGACCATTGTATTCGGGCACACGGACACGGGATGAAACCTTCTCTTCTGTTTTGTGCAACACACACACACACACATGACATCATGCTCAAAGCGTTCTCTCTACTCTCGCGCAATCATTAGTTCAATATTCAAGCCTAGTTGAGCGTTGCAACGAAAAATATGACACGAAACGAGAAGCAGTCACTATGACACCAGCAGCCGGTCGAGCAGAAACGGCAATTTGCAGTGACAAGCCAAGCAAGACGCAAGATCGCTCACCTTGACTAGTGACAGATTGGCTGGGAGAGTGGCCTTCATCGGAGGAGATTGAAGGTCTCTGTCCTTTGGGGGGGATCGGGGGTCTTTCGTCCCCTCCGCCTCCCAGTTCCTCATCCTGCAGCGATACAAAACCGCAATCACCGCAATATTCACGATTAAGCATTTCGCGAACAATTACGCTGTAGAGAGGAGAAACATGCCAAATCCCCTAGCCATCAACAGAAAATCGAGGAATCGATTGAGAAGTCGAAGCGTGCAATATTACATCCAAGTTCAAGGATTGCAAGCAGAACGAGGCCTTTCCTCAGTCCTGGAGGCTTCACCCAGGTGCTTCACACCCAAGGAATGCTGCACCGATTCGCATTACCATGCACTCAATAACATTAAACACTTTTGCATCAGATCGAAAGCCGATGCAAAAGCCGATGCCTCTTCTCACCTGGAGGGAAGTTCGACGCTTGGAGTCCTCACTGCTGGAGGCGGAGGATGTCGAGGAGGTCCTTTTGCCTTCTTTCGCAGACTAGGTGGGTGCCATGCAAATGAGGGATAAGGATCATCAGGGCATGCATTCACGGTTTCGTGCTATTACCTCTATGACAACTCTGTTCGCTCGATCGTGTCAAGTCGGCCGCGATCATTCACTCACGTCCGAAACTTTCATTCATAGGTAAGCCATTCCCAAGTAATCTAGCAAGAAGGTCGTAGTTCCACAGTCCTGCATGCATTTTCATGCACATTCTCTATGCAACCCCTTTAATTTTTTTTTTGCAGTTTGGCATTCACCAAATTTAAGGTAAGACTCATGCAGGTATCTGGGACTTCATTATTAGGCAATACAGGAGAAACTGCATACCTTTTGCGAGTCATAGCTGAGGAGCTGCATTCGAGGAGGAAGTGTGGCATGGAATGAGACTTTCTTCACCCATTCGTCCAGCTTATCGGCATTTTCGGCCGTGAACAGATACTCGGCCCCATCTGAGTTCTGCAGCCTGTTTCAGGGTAATAATTCGTTCATCAGGAACCGGTTTTTCACTCGATAATCAGTGAGATGAACAAACAGGGTCGCTACCTGAAGACATTCTTCTTTTTCGTATAGTCTTCAGCCTTTTCGCACTTGGCATTGTAGATGCTCAACGGGGATGATGCAGCCTTGCTTTCCAGGAAATCATCCTGGTCCTTAAAGAAGCACAGCAACTGTCCACACAGAACTGCAAAGGAAGAAAACTCCCATAGAACGTAGAGTCTAAATTCTGCAAATTTCCGAACAAGAAAAAAAAAACTCATCCTCGGCTCACCCGTATAATAAGTCTTCCAAGAGCGAATGGTGGCCCTCTTGCCTCCGCTCTGGAGTTCTTGCTTGCGATCGAGGAAGCCCTCCACCTCGACGGGCGGCAGGTTCTGCATGTTCTCCAGTTTGTTCTTGAGCTGCTGCTTCCTGAAGCTCTGCGTCCTTCGCCGCGTCGTGAAACTGGGCGTGCGCTTGGTCTTCTTGGTCTGCTCCAGCCCGACGCGCATGCTCTCGGCCCGCTTCACGTTGCTCAGGCCCAGGAGGCTCGTCTGACTCCCCATCTTCTTCAGGGGACTCGGCTCTCGTCCGCTCCCGCTGATCACAATAGTGATGAAATAGTAAATCACTTAGCATATAGTCAGAAAATAAACACACAAACCTTGAAAAAGTTACAAACTCAAGGTAGATCACTGAATCAGATGCCTGTAATTTGCTGCTTTTGACAGAAGTCATACCTAGACTGAGCCCGGAAAAATACACTGTGATTCCAAAAGAAGTTTACAAGGAAGCTTTGACAACAGAGAAAGGTTGGAATTGTGACTAAACGTTGTTGGTTGTTCAGTCCGTTTGTCACCTCAATAATACAATTCCCTGGTTAGCTTTGTGGTATATGCTCTTAACATGCAGATGTAGGGGAATTCCCATTCAACATGCAGCATTCTCAGTGCAGGGGGAGACCATTCCAAATGGAATAGAGGGAATTTACCTTCATCTTTACCATACAGGTACATCCAACTCGATCATTCACTGCAATGGTTACCTGATTGACCGGGAGCGGTCACGTGCAAGGAACTCTTGGAGGGCTTCGGCGGCTTCGGCACCCGCATGGAGTTCAGGGCTTCCGATTGTAGAACGGCGATAGTCTCCGAGATTAGGACTAATCGAGGGGCTCAGGTAACTTTTCGTCAGAGAAGGAGGAACAGAAATGAGAATGAAGACATTGCAATGCAAGGGGTCATGAGAGCATGCACATGAATTTCAGAGATTTTGTTGCAGATGTCTTCATCAGTAACATGCAATTCGATTTTTTTCCCATACACTTTGGACCTTTTGGATCATAAATAAAATAGGAAGTTGAATAAACACTTAATACTCAAGAGTATTAAATCACTTCATTGCTTCATAAGTTAATTCAATTCCAAAATATTAGCATTTAGAGTAGGTGAGATTTAAAAGTATAATATTATGGCCCAGTGAATCAGGAAAGTTGTTAAGAGTTATTCAGAATGAGTGCATGCCTCAAAGCAAGAGCATGTCAGCCCATGTGAGTCAGTGCAAATGGAAAGAGAAAGAAGGGGTGGCACCGAACACAAGTGTTAGTGAAAAGCACACAAGAGGACTCGAGGTGGCGACGAAGCCAACAGAAAAGACATACCGGGGAGATCCCTCGGGTGTGAGTTCCTGGCCAGGGAGCAGCTCTCCGTTCACCTTCATTCGGTCCAGCTCGTCCTTCGTCAGGCGGATCTCCTGGGTCCTCCGGCGCTCGTCCTCTCGGCGACGTTCCTACGGGATGGGAGATGCAGTTAATGCATGTGTTCAGACAATATCCAGCGTGCAGCAACTGAATCTCAAGAGTCATGCTCTCCCTACTGTACATAAGGAAATACAGTATTCAGGTCGGCAAAAACTCCAAAGTTGAACAATTCCAAATCACACCTTGTACAATGCACAAGAATGACATATTTCAGACTCTACAGCATCTTATCAGCTTTCCTTGGAGAAAAAAAAGGTAAAATTTTCACAAACAAGAATGTCAATCAGAAGTTCAATTTATCTACTGATAATAGTTTTTTATACTTCCAGATTTACTGTACTTGGATGTACTTTTTGAGGGATTGCAGAAAAACAAGGCTATTTTGTCACATTGCACTCACTGTGGTAATTCTCTCAACTTCCTTGTTTTTGAGAGCACGAATCCGGTCCTGCTCTTTGCGCTCAGCCTCAGCCTTCCTGGCTTCTTCCTCGGTCTTCTTTTGCTTCTGGAATTCCTCCTCCAACTGCAATTCGGAGAGCATACAGAGTCCTTACCAATGTTTCATGCCAAGAGAAAATGAATAGCGAGTCAGAGAGTGAGCACTCACAGCTGTGAGTCTGGAAAGGGCATTGAACCGCTCGGCCTGAGCCTCGACGGTCTTTTCGAAGTCTTCGTGGGTTCTGATCAGGTCCTCGACTTGAGGGATGGATTCTCCCATGGTGTTGTCCTCAAGGATTGCCTGTCTGCTAGACAACCAGTTCTCCAGCTGTGCACACTCGGTCAGGAATTTCTGTCAACCGGGGAAACAATACTTTAAAGAGTGATCTCAACATCACAACAAGTTGCATGGCGACCGATCCCACCTGGGTGTCCAAGTGGCGGATGTATATGCCGTTACGTAGCTCCCAGGTGTCCAACAGCGTGGTCTTGCGCTGCTCCAGGACCGAGATCTTCTCTTGGATCTCATCTGACATGAAGTGTCCCTGGAATTCAACAGAACAAAAAAGAGGGCTAAGAATCCCTGACGTATTCCTGACGATCGTTCTAGTTCCGCAAGAAGTGAGGCTCGGGAGTCGAGCATGCACATCACATCGAAGCCACACTCGAGCATCACTGGCATTAGCAACATATAGAGTGAGCTGACTAACTCACTAGAGAATCTTCCATCTTGGTAAGGCAAAAGTATACATTTAAAATTCTAATTGGAACATTTTGCATTAAAAAATTATCTTTCATGTTTCTATGAACTGACCTGACTGATGATCTTCTGGCCTTTGCTTGCAAACTTGGCAAACGCATCAATTCGAGCATCAATCTCAGCCTTGTATTCGTTGTGCCGGGAGATGATGGCTTCGGCTGCCTTGACGTCCTTACCCAACTCGGGAGCCGTTACCTTCGCGATCATCTCACTCGTCCATGCCCTAGAGATGTTGAAAGTCATGATAAAAAGTCATGATAAAACGACTTGGAAGAGTTGATCAGCTACAACAGATGGAAAACCAACATCAGCTCCCGGTACTCATCGAAGTAGGCCTGGAGTTGTTCCGCTTGCTGAAGCTTGTCCTTGCGGAGAGCAGACTTCTCGAGGAGTTCGTTCCACGCCTCGACGGTTTCCTCGTGCTTCACCCCGACGTGCTCTCGTGCGTCGGGAAAGAGGGATGCCAGTCGCTGGGCCTCCTTCACCACGGCCTCCACCTGCTCCTTCACGGCGGCCAGGTCCCTCTCGAAGCCCTGATGCTTCCTCACCAGCGTCTGGATGCTCTCCAGATCGTGTCCGTAGTCCTCGGACGTCAGGACCGTCTCCTTCTCTTGGATCCAAGCGACCGTCTCGTCGGCCGTGCGGTCGAACACGTGCACTTGCTTTGCTCCGATCAATGCCTGGGAAATAACAATGGCAGTTGAACGTGATGGAAAATTATGTCACAAGTACAATTCATTTTTCCTCATGCATGCTCAGAGAAATTCGTACTTCTTGGCGAGCAGTGGCCAGCTCTTTGAGGTCATCCCAAAGCTGCTCGAGTTCCCCGATCTTCGCCTTGATACGATCACGCCTCGGATGATTCTCGGAAACGAGCGTGAGGCCGTTGTTCTTGATGCACAGGAGTCGATCCTCGCTCGTGCTCAGCACGTTCATGAAACTTTCGAATTTCTGGATGAGAACCTCGATGTGCTCCACGTCGCGCCCGTAGTCCTCGGACGCGGCCACGGCCATCTGATCGTTGATCCACTCCGCCACCTCGTCGACTTCGCGCACGAAGCGGAAGAACTTGCGGGAGTCGCTCAGCTGCATCTGGCGCTCTTCGGCCAGCATCTGCAGGTCCTTGTACTCTTGCTCCACGGTCTTCTGCTTCTCTTGGATGCGACTCGAGGCGAAGTGACCCCGATCGACCAGCTTCTGGGCCAGCTTCGCGAGTTTCCCGATGGTGGTGTTGAAGCCGTCCAGGTCCCTCACGAGGTTCTCCAACTTCTTCTGATGCACCTGGACGGAATCTTCGTCCTTCCCGACGTCTCCCGTTCCGAGGAACTGCCTCTTCTCCTTGAGCCATGCATCTGCCTCGCTCGCCTCCGTCAGGAACTGGCGAAGACAAAAAAAAAATTGCAATATCACCATTGCAATAGCAGTCGATGCATGCAGCACAGACACAGATGGTCTGGTTCGGGTTAGGTTTACATTCAATATCTGATTCCTAAAGTTCAGTTTTAGAAATCCTGTTGTAGCCCCAAAAAGCATGGTCTCAAATCAGAAAATTAACACAAAAGCACTGTTCACTTTCCTAGTGACTTCTACATACTTACATACAAAGCTTATATGGAATGATCAGCCTAATGCAAAAGATGTTAATCAAAAGATGTTAATGAGCAAGTATGAAAGAAAAACACATCAATGTGGTCATTGTGTTCCACGCTAATTTTGAAGTTGTTGGGGTGCACAGGATTTGACTCGACGTAAGAGTTCATATAAGATTGACCTCAATTATAAACACACTCAAGTTTGGTTCCAGCTTTTCAAAATATTTCTCAAAGCTCAGTTCGGTTCAGTTTGTCTTCATTTAACACTAAGGACGCCTGAAATTTTGTCATACCTGCTGGGACTCCAGCGCATCCTGGAGACGTAACCGCCTCACGCTGGTGGCATCTTTGAGTTGCGCCATGCGTGCGGCCAGGTTCCGCACTTTCGTGTCGATCTGACTAGATGCGAAGTGCCCGCTTTTCATCATCTGCTGCCCCTTGGTGCTCACCAGATTAACCATCGGTTCGTGGCTCTGGATCTCTGTTTCGAGCGCCTACGAAAGAGAACACCAATCAACACCGCGAATTCAACGAGGCAACCAGGCGCAAACCGCAGGGCAACCGGGCATAAACCGCGGGGCAACCTCACCTGATGCTTCTTCGTGAGCGTCTGGACGGCGGAGAGGCTCGCGCCCAAGTCCTCCGACTGGGCGACGGGCTCCTTCTCGGAGATCCACACCAGCTCGTCCTCCACGTCCCGGAAGAACTGGTAGAGGAGCTGCGCGTCCTCGAGGTTGTCTCGGCGGATCTGCAGGGGCTCGTGCAGAGACTCGTACCTATTGAACAAAAAAAAACTTTCGGTGCTGACATTCAAGCCACAAGTTCTCCGAAGAATGGGTGAAATCAGGAAGCAAAATCGATTCTCAGGCGAGGAATGGATCGGGGAAGGCATGCGTTGATGCGAGATTTGGATTAACGATTCCTACGGATTATCGAAAATCTGCCCGAGTAATCACTCGAATTTATCGCCGAATTTCTTCCCATTAGCCACTGTCGACTGCGAAATATTCATACGACGTCCCAGACCTTCATCAAGTTTCTTTCCATCCAAGCGCTTCAAAAACATTAAACGTCTCCTCGAGGAGCAAACGGCGAGGACGGATGAGACGGACTCCTCCATTACCCGAGGGAAAAGGAGACCGAAGGAGAGTTTTCCCCCTCATTTTTATTTCGTGGGCGAGCGGGAGAGGCGACGCCAGGAAGGGTCCGAGGAAAAAACTTTTTTTTCGGTCCAATTTCATCTCTTTTGCCAGCACGGCCCAGGGGGAATAGGGTACTCTTCCTCCGAAATTACGGCATTCGGCCTAAACGGAGAATTTTAGCGAAGGTTCTACGGGATTTCTGCCGGGGCCGGAATAAGCGGGAGCTCCGGATCACCGCCGATAATCCCCTAATGCTCATCGACTAGAGAGACCCGATCAGCGCGATTAGAGAAAACCGACAGCGATTAGCGATTAGCTAATCGCTAAATCGACATCGTTGAGCGAAAAGACGAGACTGACCTCTTGATGACGGCCCGAACCCTCTCGTCGATCTCGTCCTTCATGAAGTGCTGATTGTTCCGAAAGGCGACGGACGTGTCCTTGACCTGCTCGACGTTGTCGGCGTGCGCGTGGATGTCCGACTCCAGCTGCTGATGCTTCTTCAGGAGGTTCTGGACGGAGGTCATGTCGTGGCCGTGGTCCTCGCTCTGGAGGTGGCCCTCGATCTCGTCCATCCAGGCGTCGAGGTCGTCCAGCGTCTGATTGAAGGCGAGGGCCTTGTAGGCGTCCTGGAGCCGCTCCTTCTTCTCCCTCGAGGCGTCCAGGAGCCCCCGCCAGAGCTGCTCCAGTTCGTCCAGGCGCTGGCGGATGTCCATGGCGGCGAAGTGGCCGTTTCCGATCAGCTGTTCGCCCTCCTGGTTCACGGCGTTCACGCGGCCTTTGTTGGCGAGGATCTCGGCTTCGAACGCCTGGTGCTTCTGGATCTTGCTCTGGAGGTTCATGGGATCGCGGTAGGACTCGTCGCAGGCCACCTGCATCTTCTCGGCGATCCAGTTCACGACCTCGTAGATGTTCCGGAGGAACTGCTGCAGCTGCTGGGATTCCGCGAGCTTGCGGGATCGGATCATGGAGTTCTCCTTCAGGCGATCCCGCCGCCGGCACACGGCGCCCAGCCGCTGCTGTATGGCCTGGCTGTCGTAATGCTTCCCGGCGACCAACTCCATCGCGAACTTCTCGAGCTGATCGACCTTCGTCCCGTTCGGCTGATGCAGCGTCTTCTCGAACGCCCGATGCTTCCGGATCAGCGTCTCCACGGCGGCCATGGAATCCCCGAGGTCGTCGTTGTTGAGGAAGGCCTCCTTGTCCGCCAGCCACTCGTCGGCTTCGTCCGCGTGATGGAAGAACGCCTTGCTCTGCAGGGCCTGCAGCAGGAAATGCTTCTGCTCTTCCCAGCTGGCGCTCAGGGAGCGTCGCATCTCCTCGAGGTGCCCGACGGCCTCCTCGACTTCGTCTTTGGCCCAGTGATTCTGCTGGATGAGGTGGTGGCCGAAGTCCTTGAGGGCCTTGAAGGTCTCCTGCCTCCCGTCGATCTCGGCCTTCCGCTCCTGATGGAGCTCGAGCATGGACTCGGCCTCGACCTGGCTGACGGGGACGCCGCCGCTGCTCATCTTGTCTTGCGTGTTCTCGACCCACTTCTCGAGGTCCTTCAGCTCGGCCTTGAACTTCTGGAGGGTGTAGGCGGCGGCGAGTTGTCGCTTGCAGGCTTGGCACTTTTGGGTGAGGGCGCGCCAGGTCTCCTGGAGTTCCGAGAGCTTCTGCCGGATCGGGACGGACGTGTCCGGGTATTTTTGCATCAGGCGCTTGGCTTCGTTCTCCAGGTCCTTGATCTAGATTCATGCAGGTATCTGGGACTTTATTATTAGGCAATACAGGAGAAACTGCATACCTTTTGCGAGTCATAGCTGAGGAGCTGCATTCGAGGAGGAGGTTTGGCATGGAATGAGACTTTCTTCACCCATTCGTCCAGCTTTTCGGCATTTTCGGCCTCAACACATACTCTTCCCCATCCGAGTTCTGCAACCCGTCACAGGTTCATCAGGAGCCGGTTTTTCCTTCGATGATCAGAGAGAACATTGAGGCATGGCTACCTGAAGCCATGCTATAAATGTGACGTCTATGAATGAAACCCTCATCCTAGCACGTGTGCATTCTTGGCAGAAAACCGTTGGGTGTGCTCTGAGGCCACCCGTGGTGTGGGGAGATTACGTTTGAATCACCAAAACGAATGCTGCAGGATTTACTCTCCACTAGAAGCATCGAAAACCAATTAGGACATCAATGGAAAAATTCGAAAGCTAGATAATTTCAGTTATCAGAGCATTGTAAGGCAACCATTCCCTTTTCCTCCCTTCCTCCAAGATCAACATTCTTGAATTTCCTCATTTTACATCCTCTGCAAAATTCGAATCTACAAAATGAATGGCGCAATATTTACTCTTCACTCCCGTTCTCAGCCCCGCCACCGTCCCCGCCCAACCCCAACCCTCAATTTCTGAAACTTTGCGTGCTCAAAGCAATGGCGTTCGCTATCTTCTTCTTACGTTTCTTACTGCAAGGGTCACATGCTCCTACGACAAGTAGGAGGCAAGTTTCAAGGTTGAAAGGGAAATGTTCGTTTCGGAAACATTGAAAACCAATTAGGACATCAATGGAAAAATTCGAAAGCTAAATGATTTCAGTTAACAGGTCTGTGCAAGTCAAGCTTCCCCTTTTTCCCCGGTCAACATTCAACGAGATCAACATATTTGCATTTCCTCCTTTTACATCATCTGCAAAGAAGGCACGACCAGCGAGCAAGAAATCGTTCAAAAATGTGGTGGGTAGTTTCCCAGATATATAACCGTCACGTCTATGAATGAAGCCCTCATCCCAGCATGAGGGCCTTCTTGGCTCCGAAGTCCTTTGTGTGCTATGAAGCCACCCGTGGTGTGAGGAGATTACGTCCGAATCTCCAAAATGAATGCTGCAATATTTACTCTCCAATCCCGTTTTCGCCCCGCCACCGCCCCCGCCCCATCACGACCCTCGATTTCTCATTTCCACCGTCTTCCACGAAGGAAAGGAAAACAACAGAGACTTTCATAGGAACCATTTCAGTCTCATCTGGCGATTTTATTAGAATAGTTTCATCGTAACAAAAGAGGCAACAGATTTG